TCTGTTGCTAAGAGAAGTTTCCCTGATATAGGTTGTACACACACAAACACACACACACACACACACACACACACACACACATGACCTGCATGCATGTGCACACTCAAACACACATATGTATGTAACGAGTATTAATGAAAAAAGAGCCCTTGAATTTGAAAAAGAACAAAAGAAGTTTTAGAGAGAGAAAAAGGAAAGGGGATGATGTGTTAGCTGAGTTTTCTGTCCTGCCTGGTTTCTGTCCCCCCCCCAGGTCCCACAGCCATTTAGCCCCAAAGAAAATCACACAGAGGACTACATAAGTTATAAACTGCTTGGTCCATTAGCTCAGGCTTATTATTAACTCTTATAACTTATATTAGCCCATTATTTTAGTATATGTTAGCCACATGGCTCAGTACCTTTTTCAGCAGGGCAAGTCACATCTTCCTTCTTCAGTGTCTGGACAGGACTTGGGAGGAATAGGGGGGCTTCCTCCTGCCCAGAATTCTCCTGTTCTCATTGAACCGCCTCTACTTCCTGTCTGGTTGTTCCCCCTCTACTTCCTGTCTGGTTGTCCCACCTATACTTCCTGCCTCACTACTGGCCAATCAGCATTTATTTAAAACATAATTGACAAAATACAGAATTGTCTCACACCAATGATGTAATTATAAAAGAAAAGAAAAGAATTTTTAAATAAGTGTTTGCTGTACTTATATGAAAATTCTAGGCCTAATGGCCTATGCTTGTAATCCCAGTGAGAGACTCTATCTCAAACAAACAAACAAAATAAAACAAAAAAAAGTAAAATAAAAAACCAAGCTCGTTGCTCCCGAGAAATGATAGCCAAGGTGGATCTCTGACCTTTACATCCACATGAACACAGTGTGCCCATGTGTATTTATTAAAATATAAATAAAATATCACTACACACATCTGTGAGAGGAGAGCAAGCATGAAGTACTCTCTTTCCAGTAGGTCTCATCTCTTAAAGGTCCCCTCCTCACTGGGACCAAGCTTCCAGCAATCGAACTTTCCAGAATATACCACACATGATGCCTAGCAAGAAGGTCGCATGCCGGGCACATATGGGAGAGGAGAAAAACTGACTAAGGAAGGACACGGAGGAGCCAGAGCCAGTCTCCAACGAGCCTTACTCATCACAGCAAGGAGCTAGGGCTGTCTCCAGAGTTCAGCTTGCGAGCAGGTAGTGTGTTATGAACTGACTTGTTATTCTGGAAGACAAGGCAGGAGACATTTACAGCCTGGGCTCTCTGGAGAATGCCTCTGGGAGCCCCCTGTTCTTTATGGCTGATGTCTCTCTTCTGCATGTGTCATTAAGATCTTTTGACTGGGCCAGATCCCCAAACAGGAATACACTTAGCTCTAACCCCTAAGAAGCCAGGGAATACTCTTTCTGGCCATGGTGTCTCCCTTTCTTCTATCAGACGACAATACCTTCCTAAACACCTGTCAGCCAAGAAGAGTTAGCAGAGTTTTGACGTCTCACTGTGTGTCAGACAGGGTAACCCTGCGACACCTCATGGGAGTGAACCGTTAGCAGTCTCACTGACTCAGAGAGGGGATGTGGCTTCCCTTAGCTTTACAGATGGAAGTGGTACCGCCTGGAAGCTCCTCTGCCAAACTCCCAGTCATTCCAGAGGCGATCCTGAACCACACCCTCCCTCGATTCCTCCTGCTGAAGGAAGCAGCTGAGAACTCTTCCTTCCACTAACCAGCTGGTGCCACCCAGGAGCCTATGGCCTAAGGGGCTGCTGCTTTAATGGCAGCCCTTTCTGGACCTCATCAGTTAGGGAACACGGTGCAGCTATAGCCTGCGGCGACACTGTAACCCCATCTGATCCTTACTCACTGCACCAATGACTCAGAAACCTGTTGTTCGGATAATTCTCCTTTGGGCTCTGGGCCCGACTTCCTGTTAGTGTATTGCTCTTATCCCTCCCTCCCCCAAGCCCCCACACATGGATTAGGTGACTGAGTTTATGGTAAAAGTAGATCTACAAGTCCCAGAAATTGGTCAAATGGTTTTGCTAGTATGATGCTTTCCTTTGATAAGGTAACATGATAGCATAATCACACCGAAGGTTGGTGCCCTGTGATGGGAAGGAGAGAAGAGTGGAAGTCTAGAGAGCAGCTTCTTCCTTCCTCTGACCATCCAGGCTTGTGCCAGTGGCTGAGTTATAATTCACACACTATAAAACTCCTCCGGAAAGGGTGCTGGCCAGCGGCTTTTTGTATATTCACAAAGTTGTCCAACTGTAGCCTTTATCTCATTCCAGAACATTTTAATCACCCTCATAAAGCCCTGCTGTCCCATGTGCAGCCCCTCCCTGGGCCCTTTCCTGTGTGCTGACACCATCTGGACTCATTTCTCCTCTCACTCTTTCTTCTCCCCCAGTCACCAGCTGTCACTAGCAGGTCACCAGAGATAAAGAGCAAGGCCAGGGTCACTGTTATTTCACCGGCCATGAGGGTGCGCAAAGTCTCACCTCTGACACTGGAGAAGTCCCATCCTCGTGACTGACACCCACAGTAGACAGGTACCTGTGAGAAGAGCACAGGAAGGCCCAGTGTTACCCTCCCCCACAGCTGTCCTGGGCTCCAGGTTTATTCTCATAGGCAAATGGCCTCTTCAGAAAACCCAAGTCAGACTGACATGTTGGGGGCACGGAAGCTGTCTCACCAGCTAAGAAGTACCTGTCCTCTGGTTGGCCCATGTTTACTGCCTTCGTGTGACCTGCTGAAGGGATATGCATTCTCTAACCCAGATTTTCAGGAAAGGGACAGATCTCACATGCTGAGCCCCAAAAGGATAATGTAAAAGGCACTCCTCATTGGCCCAGCATTCTCTCCTTCCCAAGGAGGGACACGTAGCATTCTCATTTTGCTGGTGTTTGCTCTTTTAAGACATTTTATTACACACACACACACACTCACATACACACACACACAAGCAGGTACACATGCACATGCGTGCCACAGCCAATGTGTGGAAGTCAGAGGTCAACTTGTGAGAGCTGGATCTTTGCTTTGACCGTGGAGTTCGCAGGATCACACTCAGGTCATCAGGCCTGGTGTCAGGTGTCTTTACGCACTGACCTACCTCAGTGGGTCCCACATAGCACTCGTCAATCACTCATGACTGTCTGTCCCTCCGCTAGAACATGTGTGACAAAGGGAGAGATGGCCTAACCTTATCACGGTAGCACCTCCAGGCGCTGTAACTGTGCTGTGAAAACGGGTGTGTCGTCATAGAGGGAGAGAAGAGTCATAGGTGGAGTTGGTTGCCACTACCTGCTGGTGACTTTCCTGTACCCAGGGTTCCATCTTCAGGCCTGTCCCCCACCGCCAGCATGGCCCTCCTTTGGAGGCTGTGTTCCCTGCAATGGGCCCAAGCGTGCCAACTTCCTCTGCAGCTGCTTCTCCTCTCATCATGGCTGCCACAGCCTCAGAAAGGGGCCCCGAGGACCCACTAGCAACAGCACAGTGTGGGAAACTTCTCAGGGCGATGTCACTTGTAATGACAAAGTCAGTATTTGACAAAGGAAGTATTGATCTGCAACCATAGGGGCGGCCCCCGCTGCTTTGCTGAGGAGGGTTGACAAAGTCCACAATGTTTGGTTCGATCATGAATTGCATATCCATCAGCGGTCCAAATAAAGTATGTGTGTGGTGGGGGGGCTGGAGTTGTCTTTGTGTAAACACACTAAGAACTTCACACAAGGAAGAAATCACACAGTGGTGCATTTCATGGAATGTGTCCCATTGTTAAGCCACGCGTAGCTGGTTTTGTACCCAGAGGTGAGTTACCCAAACCAGAGAAGAAAGGCTTTGAACAGTGGCCCATGGCCTTGTTGCCCTCTAACTAATGAAGCTGAAGATGGCTTAGTGGTTAAGAGCATTGCTTCCAGAGGACCTGGTTTAATTCCCAGCACCCACATGATGGCTCACAATCATCTATAACTCAAACCTCAGGGGATCTGACTCCCTCTTCTAGACTCCAAGGGCACCAGGCATTCATGCTATATACACTAATATACACACTTGTACACATAAAATAAAAGGTAAAGAAAAACTCAGTGAGGTGAGATGGCTCAGCTATTGAGATCACTCATTATTCTTCCAGAGGACCCATGCTTGGTTCCCAGCATCTACTTGGTGACTCTCAACTTTCTATGACTCCAGTTCCTGGGGATCTTCTGCCCTCTTCTGACCTCTGTGGCCACTGCATGCACATTGTGTATAAACATACATGGAGGCAAAACATTCATACACATAAAATAGATCTTTTTAAAAAATCTAATAAATACATTTTATTTGAAAAAATAAAGAATGAGCCCATGCTTATCCAATACAAAGTGGTCAGCCTGAAATCATATATATACAAACAGCACTGAACAGACTCAGTCAGCTGCATTTATATATGTATGATAATAATCAAAGAAAAAGAGATCATAAATTTGAGAGGGAGTAAGGGGGGGCATGGGAGGGATTGGAAGGCGAAAAGGGAAGGCAAGAAGAGAAATAATTTTATTTTGTTGAAAAAAATATTTTTAAAGGACAGACCCACCATTGCCCAAAGGGTCTCTAAACTTCTATCCTGCTCAGGGTAGCTGTGAATCTCAGCCCGCTGTCCAGTAACACCACACTATACACGAGCTTTGTGAATGAATCTCCATTGGCAACTAGCCTAGCCCCACTCCTATGATACTCTCAACCACAGCCACCAGACACTCACAGCCACCACTGGTAAAATGACACTTGCTTCAGCCATACTTCCTCAAAATAAGAATGCCACCTGGAGTCCTGGGCTCAGCTTCTCAGCGGCTCTTGACAGAGCATTAAGATGATTTAGAGCAAGTCTCAAAGCCAAGAGAACCCTGGTCTCCTAGCGTCTGTGATCACCAAGGTGATCCAGAGCCACAATGAGAAAGTGAGGGATACATAGAAAACTGGGTCAGATCTCTCAATGGTATTGATTCAGCAGAGAATCTAGGTCAGTGACATTCGTGGCCTACATTGAGGCAGCGCCTTTCATCAGACATGGTACTTGGGGCAGAGGTGGTTTTCCTCGCTTCTACATGAACGTTTTCCCGCTCATCCCTGCCAAAGGACAGAAATGCACCTTTATAATTAGGTCTACCAACTTTAAGCATAACAGGTTGGATGACCTACTTGGCCCTGGACTTCACTGGCTGCCACTTGCCCAAGCGCACCTGGGTAGCTACCTGGTCAAGGTTAATAGCCTGGCGTTTTCGCGATAGAGGTTCTTTACTTTCCTCCTTTACCTAAACAGAGAACAATTATCAGAGTGTATTTAGCACCTGAAGAAAGAGGCTCAGCAAACTTGACTTGACGGCTATGACGTCAAGCAAGGTCAGGCACGAGTTTAGTCTTGCAGGTGGTTTCACACGGGCTTGGGGTTCATTCCTGAATCTCTTGACCATCAGCCCAATTACAAGGGAAATCTGCAAGCCCAGGAAATGTGTCTACCCCTCAGGCAAATTTGCAAAAACCATCCATGCACGGAGCCGTGGTGCTGAGGGGAGTGGTGGAAAACCGGGCAGAATTTGCTCTTTTGAAAGAAATGCTTTCAAGAGTCGCTTTCACGCTCCAAAATTCTGATTTGTTTGTTACCAACTCCCACAGTTTGCTCAAGCCTCTGAAAGTTGCAGTCGACACATAGCACAGGGGCAGGATGTGCCCTATTTTCCAGCACCGTGTCAAGTTCATTGCATAGACTGTCTCATCACCTCCTCACAGCCACTCCGGGGCCTCACGCTGTCACATTATACAGGAAACCAAAGTTTAAGGAAATGAATGAGTATCAAGGCTGCACAGCTTTAAGTGGGAAATAAGGGCATACAGCCAGCAAGTCTTGCAGGGCTAGCACTGACTGGGGGAACCACTTTTTGTCACGCACCAAAAGGATGAAAACAGTGTTGCAAAAGGGGAAAAGAAGCATATTCTGGAGACGGGAAGCTGCGTGCATCTTACTCTGATGAGCAATGATTTGCAACCTTAAATAAGAGAGGGCAGTGCAAATATTGACCTTTCCTGAATCACTGATAGTGAATGCAACCTGTTCAGAATGCACACATCTTTGGGGAAATTAAGACATAATCTCCTCCCACCCCAGCAGTGTTAGAGAGTTAATGCAGTTGGGAGTTAGGAGAGAACTCCTTCTTTCCAACTTGCTTTTCTTCTGTGCTAATAGATTAGTGGTAAGCACCTGCTCCTACCGTCTGTCAGCCTCAGTCCCCTCTGGTCCACACTCCTTAGTGCTGATGCCCTTCTTTCTCATTGGTCCATGCTTAGCTCCTAGTCCCTTGGGCCAAGTAGACTTCTCTGTGTTTTGCTCCTGCAGATTCGCGGGAGAAATTGTAGAAAGTGGCTCATAAGCCACTTTTCTAGGCTCGGATTGGAAAAGCGTTTGAAGCCATGGGCTTCAGCATGGCGAGTTCACAGAAAGGACTGCGTGCATTTGTTCATCCTGCCAATCAGTGGAGCGTGAGACTTGGGCACACTTCCTTCCCCTGAAACCGGAAGTAGCTCCCTAGTCAGTCAGTCATAAAAGAGCATGGGCCTTCAACTCATGATCCTCTGGGCCCCTTTCTCTTACTTAGTCCTAAGAGGGACGTCATTGTCAACCCCCACAAAGCTTAGGTGACTCAAGGGAAAGCCAGCAGAAGAGATCGAGCCAACCAATGCTCCAGCATAGACTGAGGCGGGGGGGAGCTCATAAGCCCCCACCCCTTAACTGTGGAGCTATTGGCATTTGATAGCTGCGGGGAGAGGGAAAATCATTCTTCTTTGGTCCCGTGGCCAGTGACAGGTTGCCCATGCCCCAGTGGATGACTTCACACCCCTGCACACATGAATATCACTGATTGAACTGAGTGAGTTATATTTTTAAAAAGAGAAATAAAGAGAACATGAAGCCGAAGGGAGATATGTTGGAGTGGATTCAGGTCAAGTTGGAAGAGGGAAATGAGAGGTGGGTATGATCATATTTCATGATATACATGTATGAAATTCTCAACAGGTAAATAAATGCAAGAAAAGAACAAACCCGCTAATACCCAGAGGTGCATAGGCATTTAATTCACAGAGAGGTGTTGTCAAAGAGAAGGATGCAGGAGAATGAGCATCACCGTCTATCCGTTCTCTCTGCAAAGCCCCCGCACCTCATCCTTTAGATCTCTTTCTCCTGTGGGAGGGGCAGTTAATTATTTCCAATTACTCATTACTAATTTCTAACAAATCCTCCTTCTGAGAAATTAAGATATTACCGATATGCAAATGGCTGTGGGGTAACTGATAATCTGGATCCTGAGGCAGTTCCTGGAATGGAAATGGAAACTGTGGTCCTTGCTGGGGTGTGCCGAGGATGGTCTCCTCTATCCTAAGCCTTTAAAATGTTTTCTTGCCACTCCGTGTATATTGCCCCAAATCTCTCTCCTCTTTAGAAACAAATCTGACAAAATCCCCAAGCTTCCTCTTCACCTGTTCCCTAATTACCACCCCTCTCTCTCCCTCATCTCCTTCTATACATGCCTCCAAGAGTTTTCTCTGTATCCCCCAGTTTCTGCAGCTGTATTTTAACAATTTGGCTTTGCTGAATGTTGGTGTGATGGCCAATTTTATGTCAACTGGACACATTTGGGGAGAGGAAAACCCAATGAAGAAAATGTCCCCACCAGATCAGTCCGCAGACAAGTCTATGTGGGCATTCTCTCGATTGATGATTGATGTGTGGGAAGGCCGAGGTCACTGTGGGCGATGCCACCCCTGATCTGGCAATCCTGGATGATATAAGAAAGCAGACTGAGCCAGCCATGAGAAACAAGCCAGTTAGTGGTGCACCTCCATGGGCTGTGCATTGGCTCCTTCCTCCAGGTTCCTGCCCTGTTTGAGTCTGTCCTAACTTTCCTCAGTGATGGACTTTTTGCTATCTAGAATGAAAGACGAACTAAACCCTTTCCTCCCCAGGTTGCCTTTGATCATGGTGTTTTATCACCATAATAGAAAACCTAACTAAGGCAACTGGGTTGGCTCTAGTGACAAAGAACGTACACTTGGGGCTGCAGAGGTGACTTAGCAGTTAAAATGTGAACTGCTCTTGCAGAGAACCCGAGTTCAGTTGCCAGCACTCAAAACTGGCAGCTAATAACCACCAGAACTCCAGCTCCAGGGGGATCCAATGCCCCGGGCCCCCACTGACTCTTGCACTCACATGCACACATACACACACTTGCACATAATTAAAAATGAATACATTTAGCCGGACAGTGATGGGGCACATCTTTAATCCCAGCACTTGGAAGGCAGAGGTAGGTGGGCCAGCCTGAACTCAAAGAAACCTTGTTTCAAAAAGCAAAAACAAAACAAAACAGAAAAGGATATGTCTGAAAAAGAGCTCACACTCACAACAAGTTTTAAGAAATAAAGCAAATCAGCCATACATGGTGACTCACTCCTGTAATCTTAGTATTGGGAAGACTGAAGTAAGATTGAGGCCAACCTTGGCTACATAATGAGTTTCAGGGTGCATGGGATACAGAGTGAGACCTTGTCTCATAGGTGGGTAGATAGTTAAATAGATATATAGATAGACAGATAGACAGACAGATAGATGATAGATAGGTGGGTAGATAGATAGATAGATAGATAGCTCTCATAGGTGGGTGAGTAGATAGATAGATAGATAGATAGATAGATAGATAGATAGATAGATAG